ACATATACACACATACACATGCATACACACACACACATATACACACATATACACATAAACACACACATACACACACATACACACACATACACACACACCACACACATACACACACATATATACACACACACATTCACACACACACACATGCACATACACACACACATACGCACACACACACACACACACACACACACACACACGCTCAGCCTTGAGAGGTGAGTAGAAAGAGAATGCCGTCTATGCATGTCTGACCAGGAGGTGTACACACACACACACACACACACACACACACACACACACACACACACGCGCACAGCTGTCTGCAATGCTGTCTATGCCCTGGAATTCTGCTCAGCTACGGAGGATAAAGTTACACCGTTTGCTTGAAAGCACGTGCAAACGGAGCTCAGATCCTATCAAGGGAGATTGCTCAGATGCCAAAAGATAAATAGTGTATGATTTTTCACATTTGTGGGCTCCCCCCCAAAAGTACATTTTCCGAGGAACAAGACCTGAGGGGCCTTTGTCCTCCACACATGGGTGTGTGTCCATGTGTGCTCTCCAGTAAATAAAAGTGTGGTAAGAATGTGCTTGGGCTCAGTCTCTCGCACACTGAATCGCTCTGCGTCCTGTTACCGTTCAGCACTATCAAAAGCGACTGAGCAGAGAAAGGGTTTACTGCGGCTCTCAGCTCAGAGGCCGCCATGGCAGAGTCAGGGAGCCAGCGGCCTGGGCCTGTCCCACAGCCGCAGCAGCTCCGACAGGACAGGACGGAGCCAGGCCACACAGCCTCCAGGTGTGCCACTGCGGGGACACACTCCTCCAGCAGAGCTCAGGTCACCCCTCACTGAGCACCCCTGCTGGGAACCAGCACCCAGACACACGAGCCTGGCGGCATCCTCACTCACAGTGAATCACACTAGAGAGAAGGAGAAGAGCAAGGAAGAGAGGGCAGGAAGTCAGGAAACAGACATGAAACAGTCACAATTGAAAGTTTAGAATGGTTCCTTTTCTAGGATGCTTACAAGTGTCGTTATTTAGTATATTTGTATATTACAGATAGACATTTTCAAAACTATGTACCATTTGCCCTTTGATTTAAACTCAGCAGGAAACATCAGGAAATGGGTTGGAGACTGTAGTGTATAAAAACAAGACAGCTCAAGGAAGAGCTCGTGGAATGTACATTTCTGGTAATTAGGTAGCAATGACAGCAAAGTGACCTCCCATAGAAGGAGGGAGGACGAATGTCAGAATTACCACCCATGAGGGGGTGGCATGGCAGAAGGCATGCTTAGTGTCCTGACTACACGGCCAGGGTGGACACATTCCCTGAAAAGCAACTTCTGTTGACCGAACGCTTCCTACATGATCTGGCGTGTGCCGAGTGTCGAGGGAAGCAGGTGCGGGCGGTGTGTTCCCACTTGGACGTGCTCCCAGTCCTGTGGTTGTTAACAGCGTGTCTTGTCTGTCCTGCAGCTTGTTATGGAGTTCTGTGGGGCCGGGTCCATCACAGACCTTGTGAAGAACACGAAAGGGAACACACTCAAAGAAGACTGGATCGCGTACATCTCCAGAGAGATCCTCAGGGTAAGACGGGCGGGAGCGGAGCACCCAGCCTGGTCTTGGGCTTCTTCTGCAAGCAGATCCTGAACTTGGCCTTGCGTTAGTTCTTTATCCAGAGATAATTGTTGTGATAGCCATGCAGTCTTCATACTTCCTTCCAGTTCATTCCCCATCGTGGCTTAATACTGTGAGCTCTGTAAAGACCCAAGAGCTTGGCCTGTATGGTTGGAGAACACTTGAAACAAATTCTGTGTCTAGAAAATACAGACTGCTTCAGAAGTCATGGGGTACAGACCGTCCTGGTGTTAGGGTCATGCCCTGAGGAGGGTGGAAACTGCAGCTTCCACGCACGCGCTCACCACTGTAGCCTGAGGAGCCCGAGCATGCTCGTGTTTCCTATGGAGGAGGTTGAGGTGTTCCCAGAACCAGCCTCAGGCACACCCCTCGGCAGCTGAGGTGCTCTGCACTTGGGACCATTGCAGGGCGCCCGGCAGCCCCTTCCCTTTGGCATGAAGGGGCCGGGAGTGACAGAGCCCGCACCGCTGTGTGGGGCAGCTCGGGGAGGCCCCAGTTAGCGCCAGCAGTCCCCGTGCGGATCTCAGTGGACTCGGCCTTAGCTGTTAGACTGTCTCATTGCAAAGCTGGCTAGTGAGCTCAGAGCGAGTTTCTGAATTGCTGGTTTTTTAGCCCCTGACTGGTTTCTTTCAGTCGTAAGTCATCCTTCCAGCACGCGCGGGTTTTCCGGGCGTCATATTGAAAGCTGCGTGTGACTTGCTAAAGGGCTTTCCTTCCACCACCATGCTTCGCTCCCAGATGGCCCCTAAATTAATTGGGTGCATTACTTGTCCCTCCATATTTTAAAAATGGAGACCCTGGACTTAAACCCAGATTTTATTTATTTCTCTACTAATCAAAGTCTGGTAACAAGTTAGGCATCTTTTTTATTATTGTAACTAAATTTACTTTTTATCCTCGGAAGACTCCAAGTTTAAAAGCTGTCAACTAGAATTTCTAGAGAAATGTTTTAATGTCTCTTTGCTTGTATCTTATGGAGCCTTCAGAAAAGGTTCTTGAAAAGACCAGTGTGAGTAGGGAGTCTGAAGGTAGGGGACCAAATGTTGATATTGGCTCGCAAGTGCTGTCCCTGAGTCCCAGTGCCTGCCTTTTGTGGCTGTGACGGAGCTGAGCCGAAAAGCCTGTGAGGGCTGGGAGCTGGTAGGAGCAGCAGACAGGGCTGGGTTCTAGAGCTGGCTACGAATGCGCTGAGGAGCTGGGCTACTACTGTTGTCTGTTCAAAAGCAGATACACCTTTCTGTGTGTGGTAGTGTTAGACTGTGGCCATTTGCCTTGGCTTCCTGTGTGCTGCAATCACCAAGACTGCAGATACTCGATTTCTCAAGTACAGAAATCCATGCTTTTAGCATAATATTCTAGACCTAGCTTGTATCCCAGATGTCAGATGATTTGCCTGTTTTCATATACCTGTGGAAACAGTTTGCCTGTCAAGTTTAATGTGTTTATTTTAGCGTTTTGTCACCATTGACCTCAGGCGCCCTGAGGCGCAGCCCAGGTTGCTCAGAGCTGTAGTCAGTGTGGTGGAAACCGCGTCCTTTTGAAGCGCTGCAGTGTCCCCACTGCGCATCTTTAAGGGCAGCCCTCTGCCCCGGAGCCAGCTGCAGCAGCTGTTTTACAGTAGAGTTTGAGTTCAAAACAAAGAAGTGCCCCAAACGATGTTTCTGTTTTTGGAGTTACCGGGTGTGGGTGTTGGTGGAGAAGGCAGGGAGCAAGGTGGAGGTGAGGGCTCGTGTAAAATGCACCACGGTGAGTCACCCAGGTTGATAGGCAGCTGGTTTCTGTATGCAAACGCCTTCTCTCATCCTTCAGTGGCTGTTAGAGAAGGCTAGACCAGGCAGGGGTCCTAGGTACGTAGGACTGCCGTCAGAAGTACTCTTTTGGGCTAGCCAAACGGTAAGGGTCACAAGGTTTGCCAGCAAAGCCATTCCGCTCCTTCCTTCCTGTTACCTTGCTCGCTTTCTGAGCAGCAGTTTTCTCACGTGGGAGAAAGCACCATTTCTCACAGGGGAGACCTTAGGATTTTACACCACCAGCGCTCAGAGAGGTCCTGCTGCTTTTTTGCCACATGTGGTCAGGTGCCACAGGCTTGGAAGGAAACATGGAGCAGGCTGTGTAGTTGGCGTCTTCTCCAAGGCTGAGTGGTGGCGGCTCAGGTCAGGCTTGGATCCCAGGTTCTCAGCGCACACGAGGGAATGTGTTCATGCTCGTTAGTTGTCTGTCTGAATAGTTGTACTTCCTGGTAGCAGTGTTACCAACTGTTTCCTGAGTCGAAGCAGCAATCTTTACACAGCGGGAACCGGGCCTGCTTTCACATCCTGGGTGCAGGAGCGTTCAGGGTTGCACAGGAGCTGCAGCTCTATGAGAAGACAGCCCTGCCCACATCTGTTGGAAGATGCCGGAGGAAGCTGATGCAAGTTAGAAAGCAAGTGAGCTAAGCAGTAGACGTAGGAGCTCTGGAAGGGACGTGGCTTCACCCTGTCAGGGTCTGGTATGGCGTGCCGAGGGGGAGGGTGCTTCCTAGCAAGGAAGCTGTTCGCGATCTCCCTCACCACAGCCTTGTGGTACAGCCTGCCCGTGTCTGGTGAAGGATGGACGAGCACCACACCAGCTGTGTTCTGTTTCACCGAGAGATTAGTAAGTGAACATAGAGCCCGCCATGCTTGACCAGGTGATCTAGAGTGTGCCACGAGTTCGTGGAAGTTTGGCTTGTCGGCACAGGCCTGTGATTCCAGCATCTGCAAGCTGAAGCAGGAGGCTTCAAGTTTAGAGCCATGCCAGGCTGGGCCATATTGTAAAGCCTGCCCCCCACAGCACCTACATAGTAAAGACTGTCTACACCACAGCACCCCACTAGCAAAGCCTGCTCCCCCACAGCACCTACATAGCAAAGACTGTCCCTACCACAGCACCTACATAGTAAAGACTGTCCCCACCACAGCACCTACATAGTAAAGACTGTCTACACCACAGCACCCTCCTTACTTTTTCAAATAGAAAAATCGAACCCCTTGCAAGTGACCTACCCTTAGTGCTGAGGCATTTCAGGATAAATAGCTGCTGTGTCTTAAGGAGACGCAGCCTGGGATGTAGCTTCTGGCCAGGAAGAGAAGAGTAAATGAGCTCTGCAGCATCGCCGCCTTTACGGCACGGTTAGATGTGGTGTGTTTTCCCATCACCTCTCTGATACACCGGTGGGTTCTTCTGGATGCAGGGCATCGGAAATGCACACGCCAGGAGTGTGTGTTTGCCTAGGGAAGAAAGAAATTCCTTCACAAGGCTGTTCCGATGGCAGAATTACTACACACTTGGATACAAGTGGATATATCAGCACTTAAGCATTTGTTCCTGTGTACTGGGAAGACAAGCCTGCATTTTCAGAGGCAGATTTTAAGCCCCTCTGTAATTCTGTGCTGTTCCCCTGAGATGGGCCCAGCTTCGTAAGTTCACGGGGTTACCCACTGAAAGATAGATGTTTGGCGTGGGAAAGAGAGGTCCTGTACACAAATAGCACAAATTATAGCGGAAAAACTACACATGGCAACCCAAAGCCTGTGCTGTAGGCTCAGCTAAAAGTGGCTCTAAGGTCCCAGAGGGAAGGCTCCACCCACTGCTTTCTGTACGTGTGGCAAGGCTGGCAGTGCCTTCCTGGGGATGCGCCAAGGGTGAATTTTATGTTCTACATGCAGATTTAGAAAAGCTGGGCCCGCGTGTGCCCCGTGTTGTGAAAGGGTGCTCCCGCTATCTGCTGACAGAACTGAGACTTGGCTCTGTTTTCCTCTCCAGGGACTGGCACATCTCCATATTCACCACGTTATTCACCGAGACATCAAGGGCCAGAATGTGCTGCTGACTGAGAATGCGGAGGTGAAGCTTGGTAGGTGGCTGCTGTGTGTGTGTTGCAGCCTCTGACACACCTCCCGGCACTGGTGTGGCAGCCTGAGCACATGTACCCTCTAACGTTTATCCAAGTTAAGGTGTGCTCCCCCGTAGCCCGGCTCCAGCCTCCGTGTCCCTCCTGTGTCTGCTCTGTTGGGACACAGCAGCCAGATGAGGGTTTTTTGTTTTGTTCTAAGATTTATTTATGTATTTACTTTATATATATATGAATGTACTTCTGTGTATGAATGCTTTGTTTGCATGTATGCCTGCTTGACACAAAGGGCATCAGAACCCATTACAGATGGCTGTGAGCCACCATGTGGTTGCTGGGAATTAAACTCTGGACCTCTGGAAGAGCAGCCATTGTTCTTAACCACTGAGCCATCTCTTCAGCCCCAGATGAGGGTTTTTTTTTTTTTTTTAAGATTTATTTATGTATTTATTATATATATATGAATGTATTTCTGTGTATGAATGCTTTGTTTGCATGTATGCCTGCTTGACACAAAGGGCATCAGAACCCATTACAGATGGTTGGGATCCACCATGTGGTTGCTGGGAATTAAACTCTGGACCTCTGGAAGAGCAGCCATTGCTCTTAACCACTGAGCCATCTCTTCAGCCCCAGATGAGGGCTTTTATTCTTGTTTTCTTTGACTCCAGGGAAGGGGGCTCATGAGGCCCAACCCCAGGACCCGGTGCCTGAGGCACACCTCAGCCCTGTGCTAACGTTAAAAGTCAGACTTCCTACTCTCTGGCTGAAATACTCCCCTTAGTGGTGGCTGGCATAGTGCGTTGCTAGCGCTTGGGAAGCTGAAACAGAGATTGTGAGTTTGAAGCCAGCCTGGGGTGTGAAGCGGGGGGGTGTCAGAGAGCAGGAGAGGGAAGAGTAAGAATAAAGCCATGGAAAGTCCATCAGGAGGCAGCCCTGCTTGGTCACTGCCGATTCTGTTTCCCTTTACTTATAAGAAGCCCCAGGACCTTTGCACATACAGCTCTTCCTTGGGAGTACTTGACCTCACTTTCAGAGTTACAGTTTTTCTTGTCTTCTGGGGCCTTCCCTGGCCCCAGACCTGCCTTGGACTCCTGTCTTCTTTGACAGCACTGTTGATAATTTATACTTCTGTGATATCGCATGGCTCCTCTCAAGGAAAAGAGCTTGCTCCCCTTTGCCAGAATATCCTGGGATCAGCAGCCAGGACTGTTAGTCACTGGTGTAGTTCCCTGTAGCGCCTGGCAAGTTGTCCTCAGCGCCACAGGGTCCAGCAGATGCCTGATGCTGGCATTTTCTGGAGACGGCTGTCTGGAGATTTACAAAGTGTCCCTGTCTCCCCAGTCACGTCTGAACTTGCTCCCTTTTACTTTCATGCCCTTCCATTTGTAAACAAAGCCCACATCACCTTCTTCTGTTACTTTTGCTTCGCACCCTCCGCAGCCTGCCCTCCCTTTCAAAAGTCAAGGCCACGGAACCTGCTTTTCACCTTTCACTCATTGCTGTCTGCCTCGAGGCCTGAGCTCACTGCGCACCTGCAGATGCTTTGCCCTGTGGAAGGTCTCCTCGGGCTGAGCGGGCACGCCTGCCTTATCTTTGCCCTGGCTGACCTGGTGTTTCCCTGCTGTCCCCCCTCTCTGGCTGACCTGGTGTTGCCCTGCTGTCCCCTCTCTGGCTGACCTGGCGCAGTTCTTCCTTGCACGGACCTCATGGCAGGACACCGTGGTGTCCTGAGTTACTCAGCCATTCGCTGTTGCTGCTAGAAAGCTCTGTTAGGCTTTCTGTCCCTACTTTGTTGTGTGTTGAGGAGTAGGTGATACGTAAGCCCACTGTTCCCTGGGCTGGTGGAGTGTGTGGCCCCGGCCAGTGGCCTCACATGTTGTAGCCTGGTTTGTGAGCTGCTCCTCTGCGGCTAGGCTCGAGGCAAACATGCAGCCTAACTTTGTGGAGTGTGTTCTCTCCAGGCACCTTCCATAGGTTCCAGGTTTGTGCACCGAGTTCCTTTAAGTCCCGTCATCTGCTGAGCCGTGTCACTGCCCCGCGTGTCCCTGTTGAGCCTCTCCACTTAGTTCAGTGTGGTGTGTCAGCCTGTGCACAGAAGCAGCTCCGCGGGGGGAAGGCAGAGGACTGGGAACACGTTCTCTTGCTAACCCGGGGCCCTTCAGTGTGCTGTTTCCCAGGGAGCCTCAGGCGGCCGTGCACAAGCTGATGTAGGGTCTGTCTTCCTGCTTCATGTGCACCTGGCTGTGGCACTCTAAAGCGCAGGCACCGTTGCTGTCCTGCCCAGGCCCTGCTGTCGCCTGGCAGTGGGGGCCGGCCTCCGCTTCCTCCCTGAGGCTCCTGGTTGCAGGCCCAGCGCTGCCCTGGATGCTCGCCGACTGTGCTCCGGCTCTCTCTCCTCAGTTGACTTCGGCGTGAGTGCCCAGCTGGACAGGACGGTGGGACGCAGGAACACGTTCATCGGCACGCCATACTGGATGGCCCCTGAGGTCATCGCCTGCGATGAGAACCCGGACGCCACCTACGACTACAGAGTAAGAGGCCTGCCCCGGGGGCCGCTGTGTGCGCCTTCACAGCTGCTGGGCTCCAGCCACGAGTGCACACTGTTTTGAGTGCAGGTGTCCCAGGCCCGTGCTAAGCAGCTCTCTTGTTGCTTGTTGGTCCATCGCTTTGTGATCTCAATGAGAAACTCCTTGCTTGCTGGCACAGCGGGGCACAGACTCCTCACAGGGCGCTCAGATCCCTTCCTGCGTCTTTGTTAGCATGAAGAACACAGTAGACTCAGATATGGTTTCCTTTTAATGCACTGTCAACGTTTATAACGGCTTCCTCTGAAGTTTCAGTGTTTGTGTATAGTTTTATAACTTCTTCCACAAATAAATTGGCATGGTCATAGAGCGACCCCTAGGGACCTGAAATCATAATACACTTTTTATCCAGGCATAAAAATCCATACTTACTTGACTTGGGGTGACTGAGTTACTTATTTCATTTGTCAATGAAACTTTCACTTAAGTGGTTATTGTATCTGTTAACGATGTTAAAAGGGAGTTCATATTTTAATTGTTCCCCACATGTTTGAGTGTTTGTTGCAAATACACAACTATTGAGGTTTAATTTAAGCCTTTGCTGTGGAGAGATTTTCTTTTAATTTGAAGTATTTACAAATATGTCGCAGACTCCCAATTTCCTACTCTTTAATACGCACATAAAGTTTGCAGCGCGGTCCACCATTCTCAAAACAATGTCACACTTAAGGGAATGAAGATAGCCCCGGGCTGGGAGGTGGTGATGCCCAGCAAGGTCTGCTTTACGTGAAGGAGCTTTTATTTCTTCTGTGTGGAACTGTGGCATTGAGGGCCTTGTCTTCTGGTTTTGCAGAGTGACCTTTGGTCTTGCGGCATCACGGCCATCGAGATGGCAGAAGGCGCTCCCCGTAAGTAGCTTCCTCCTTCTGAGCTTCTTCCTCTGTCAGAACCGGGCACGCTGGGCAGAGCCGCGCCTGGTGGGCGTCGGGTGAAGGGGGAGTTCTTGGCACCCAGTGTTCCACTCTGGGTCTGCGCCTGTTGACTTGCGGGATCTAAAGCTAAGAAGGCCTGCTTTTTCCTCTTCGCATTTAAAACACATTGTTGGAAACAGATCCCTAGTCTTTGAAATTTTGTTATTTTTTTCATTTTGACTTTATAAATTCAGATATTACCTTTTATATGTGGAATTTTTTGTGAAGATGTGTGTGCTTTTTCTTGGGTTGAATCAGCAAACTGCTCAATCAGAACACTGATCTTTGGTTTGGGTTGTGATAGGAATATAGAAAAAGTAAGGAAAACACACTCATCATTTCCTCCCGGTGCTCAGGATAGATGCGCAAAGACCGGGCCACTGCCTCTTACGAGGTTGTGGAGTGAATATTTGTAGAATGAATGAAAACATTTGATGGTCACAGTGCAGAAGTGGAGGTCCCGGTGACTACTCTGTCCCTTCTGCGCGTGTTGTGGGCTCATGTGGCTCAGTTTTCTTTCACACTGATCCTGGGGTCTGCTGGTCTAGTCTGCATTCACAGCCGCTGTACAGGTGTCCTGAAATTGTGCCTCATCGGTTGTGACACGCTGGTGTGCCTGTCTGTGGAACTCACATTTCTTGGGGCGAGTTAATGCAGCACAGACAGTAACTGCACAGCAGTAAGCACCTCTATTTACGGTGGCCTCACTCTCCTCCTGACACGCGCTGTGGGAACAGGCGTGTGGGAACACGCGTGCGAGGAGGCTCTGACTCTGCGGCTGTGAGGGGACACAGGCACCGAGTGAAACACTGACGGCCTCTACGAGCTGTTCTATACATAGACCAACCTTACAAGCCCAGCTGTCTTCATTAAAACCCTCAGGATTGGGTCCTTTTAAATTTGAGTCAGTATTTTATCTTTGATTTATGAACACTTTTCAGTGTCCATTTGAAGTTGTGTATTTTTGCTGCTTTTAAATGGTTTTTAATTCAAGGTATGGCCTAGGGTTTGTAGCTAGACACCTCAGCTGCTTGACATTCATGGCAGTTATTTGTGAATGAACCCCAGACATCAGGAGTGAGTGAATAAGCACCTTACTGACACAACTGTCTCCTTTCCCAGCTCTCTGTGACATGCATCCAATGAGAGCGCTGTTTCTCATCCCCAGAAACCCTCCTCCCAGGCTGAAGTCAAAAAAATGGTAAGTGATGTGTGGATCTCTGTCTCCCTCTCTCCGTGCCTCCCTCTCCTTCCCTCTCTCCGTTCCTCCCTCTCTCCTTTTTTTCCTCCATCCTTCTCTTCCTCCTTCTCTCCCTCCCTCCTTCTTTTCCTCATTCGCTCCCCTCCCTCCCTCCTCCTCTCCCTTTTTCTCTTTCTCCCTCCCTTTTTCTCCATCCTTCTCCCCCTCACTCCCTCCTCCTTTTCCTCACTTCCTCTTTCCCTCCCTTCCTCCCTCTTTCCCTGTCTTCTTTGTTCCCTCCCTCCCTCCTTCCCTCTCTTCCCCTTCCCTACCCCTTTTCTTCTCTCTCTCCCACTATAGTTTTACTTTATTCTGGAATAAAATAGCATTCTAACTTGAGTGCTACAAAAGCCAACACCTTCAAACAGTCTGAAGTGCACTGATTTCGTCTGTTGTTGTTCATCTTTGAGTTCCAGGCTAATCACAAGTGACAGCTGGAAGCTCCAGAATATAGAGAAAAGGCTATAGTTTAGTATTGAAACCTCTTTTAAGCATAATATGTTGCAGAACATTTTCTTCCTAAAGTGGCAGAACTGTGTGGAAAGCCCTCTGATAGTAGATTTTCACATTGCTGAAGGGTGTCTGGGGCTGCAGTGCATGTTTGCAGATCTCACGACTTATGAGGACCGTTTGAACCTAGGAGCTCGAAGCATTCAGGGTAATAGAGTAAGATCCTGTCTGAAAAAGGGGCAGTTTCCTCAATGGGGTTTATAAAACGGCAGTTAGCCACACCTTTTAATTCTGGAAGAGCATGCTAACAGAACGGCCCTTTGCCCCTGCACAGCCGGCTCCTTCTCTCGCTGCATTTCCGAGTGTGTCCTGCAGAAGGCTGACCCCTGTGGAAGGCGGGCATGATAACCCTCTGAGCAAAGTGCTTAGAACCACAGCTTGTGAAGGCTGGTGCTTTGCCTAATTTTACATCTTTAAGGGAGGCCAGTGTCTGTGTGTGGGAGGGAGGCTGAGAGTTTTGTCTGCGCTGCCGTACCCCAGGCCCTGAGCACCTCCTCCATCGCAGGCCCTAAGCACCTGGTTCTACCCCAGGTGTCCCTGTCTTCTCTCTGTGTTCACTCTCCTGGTGCATTTCCCTTCACCTTTCCCACCTTCCTCTTACTTGAAAGATCTTTTCCCATTCTTCATACACTCTTTAGCCGTAACTGGTTCTGAGTAACAGAACCACCTAATTCCACGAAGCCTGTGTGTAGAGAGAATGGAAGAACCACACCGTTGCACAGAATTTGGCCCAGTTGGTTCCCGGGATTAATAAGTGAGAGCCGGTGGCTCTGGGTGTTGCTGACTCGTGGGTAGTGGACCCTTCCCAGGATCATGGGCTAGAGGACTTTAGCTCACACTGCACCCTGTTCTCTGCTTTCCTGTCTTCCTCTTGTGACTCTGACTGGTGAGCGTCTTTCTGGGGAGTCCGCAGGTCAGTTCTCTGAGAGGACCCCGCGCTGTCCCATCACCCCCGGCTTTGGTTGACCATTGCTGTAACTGCTGACAGGCAGAGGCAGTGTAGATGGTGGGTGATACCTTCCGGGTCCTCAAGCCAGCCTCTCTTCATCTAGAGTAGGTAAGGCGCTATATTGGTTCATCTGCGTCACTGTTCCTGTTTTCCTGAGTTTTTGAAGAGAGCGGCTTCTTCCCTGTGTCGCTGTCCTCTTCCCGGATGTAAATTTCGGTTTCCTCTTCTGGAGAAGTGGCTATCTGGAAGAGGTCAACAGCTGATCTGCCGAGAGAACTCAGCTACTGGTTTTAAGGAATGTAGCAAGTACGGTTGGTTCCTGAGGGTTGTCTTGTTAGATGTACTCTAAGCGTCAGGCACACGGTCACGCTCCTCTTCATGCCTAGACCTGTCTGTGAGGTGATGTGGACCTAGTTCTATTCTCTCTCTTTACTTTTTGTAATAATATCAGGAAGTGGCTCATCAGTCGCCGACACTTTTGCTTTAAAGGTCATATTCTCGAGCCCTGAAAGCTGTCTAGTTCCCTCTGTGGAAGAGCAAATACTCTACCTTCAATTTATGCTCAACCCACCGAGGCAGGCCCTTGCTCTCTCAGGGTTCGTTCTTGCTCTGTGGACACTGGTCAGCTGACCTCCCTCCGGCCCCTCCCGCATGAAGCCCTCTCTTGCTCCTGTCTCCTCCTGCCCCAGGATGTAAAGGCTAGTGAATCACAGCAGACTTAGGCTGTGCTCCTTCGTTAGGGCTGTTGGTGGTACATGGTTAGGGCAACAGCGCTGAGTGTGAACCACACTGACTTGTGTGCTGGCCGGATGGCCCTCGGCCTCCTGGCCCTCGGCCTCCTGGCCCTCGGCCTCCTGGCAGGTGTTTCTGAGCTTTGCTTCTCTGCTAGAGGTTTGATGGTGTGCCTCCCTCCTACAGGTCAAAGAAGTTCTTCAGCTTCATAGAGGGCTGCCTGGTGAAGAACTACATGCAGCGGCCCTCGACGGAGCAGCTGCTGAAGCACCCTTTCATTAGGGATCAGCCCAACGAGAGGCAAGTTCGAATCCAGCTGAAGGATCATATAGACCGGACCAGAAAGAAGAGAGGGGAGAAAGGTACTCAGGCTCCTCTTGTTTTCCTTCTGACACAGCATCGAAGGACTTTGAGCTAGTGTGAGAAGTACCAGGGTTTCCTGATAGTTGTGAATTCCTGCCTGCCATCATCTTTCCCCTGTGCCCTCCACCCTCGGGCCCTCCTTCCTGTCGCGTGTGCTCCTCAACCCTCCTGTTTGCTACACCACAGGGTGAGGCTGCTGCCAGTTACTCCTCAACAGCCTTTTCCCCCTCAGGGGCACTGTCTGCTTTTGTGTCACACACACTGACACACATAGGTAAACACTGCCAAGTAGTAGAACAAGCAATATTTGACTCCCTGAGTCTGGGTCATGTCACTTATTTTACGAATTGCTGGGTACATTCATTTCCTGTAAGTTTCTTTTTTCTTTCCCCCAATGGCTACATAGAATTCCGTGGTTACATGACTGATGGTCTGTTGAAGGGCTTTCAGGGTGACAGGATTTTTTTGCTATTGTCAGAAGAACAGTGATAAAGATGGGTATGTAAACAGGCAGGAGGACACAGAGCCTTTGAGGACTCTGCTGCAGAGCGGGGTCGCTGGGGTTTTTATTTGGCTTTTTCGACACCTTCATGTTTCACAGTAGGCTTCAGTTTACAGCTTCACCACCAGCGAGCAAAGATTTCTTTTCCCCACAGTTTCACCACCATTTGTTCTTTCTGATGAGTGACCAGGGTAAGGTGGAGCCTCTGGGCAGTTTTAATTTGAATTTTTGTAATGGCTAAGGATTTTGAGCGCTTTTAAAGATACCTATTGGCCAGTTTATATTTTGAGAGAAGTTTGTCATTCATTCATATCTGACATATAGCTGGCAAAAAATATTCTGTTTGTCCTGCTGCTACTTTACTTTGCTGTACATAAACTTTGTAAATTATGTCATCCCGTTCATTGATTCTTGGGGTAATTTTCTGTGCTTTTGGAATACAAGTAGAAAGTTCTTTCGAACGCATCCTGAAGTATTTTCCTCAAGCATCCTTGGCATTTTATGTTTAAATTTGAAGGCTTTGCTCCACTTTGAACAGACTTGTAAACACTGATTAAGTTGTTCTTTGGCAGTTACAGGTGTGTGCGCCTTGTTAATTACTCCCACACCTCACCTGCTCTTAGCACCCTCCTGCCTGTGGCTGGATAGCCATTTTTCTCAGTTTTTGTTCATTTTTTTTTTTTTTTTTAAGATTTCTTATGCATGTACACCTGCAGGCCATAAGAGGGCTCCAGATCTCATTGTAGACGGTTGTGAGCCACCATGTGGTTGCTGGGAATTGAACTCAGGACCCCTGGAAGAGCAGGCAATGCTCTTAACCTGAGCCATCTCTCTGGCCCCACTGTTTGCCTGACTAGGCTGTTTTTCCCCCGCAGCACATGCTTCTAACACCTTTGTTAAATCTTAGGGGGCCATAGCTGTGGCTGTGTATCTGGACCCTCTGTCTAGTCCGTTGTCTTCGGGTCTGTTTCCCCCGGTGCCATGCATTGTCACTGTGCCTCTAGCATAGTGGGTGGCCAGCTGTGCACTTTCTGTTAGAATCACTTGGCTGCTTCGAGTCTTCCATCACATAGCAAGTTTCTGGATCTTTTTCTCTTTAACATGGGAAGGTTTTTCCATGTGGTGTCATTGTCAGGAGACTTAGAGTTCTATTGCAAAGGCCTCTCACTTCCTTGGCCAGCTTTATTCCTAGATGCCATTATCTCTTCTGCAGTAAGGTTGCTGTTGATATATAGGGAAGCAACTGGGTTTTATATGCTAATTTTGTATGCTGAAAGTTGACGAAAGTGTTTATCAGATCTGAGTTTGATGGTAGGGTTTTTAAGGAGAGGATTGTGGTGTCTGAGAGTAACAGTCTTTTGACTTGTTTCTTACATGTTTTTCTAATGGCTTACCATTTTAGCTGGGTGGGCTTGAAACATTATATTAAATAAGTGTACAGTTCTAGACTTTAGAGGATTTGCTCCTTGTCCCCATCTGGTAGAGCATTATTTGTAGGTCTGCTGTGTATAACCTTTGCTATTTAGATATGTATTCTTACGTTTGTGTTCCTAACTTCTTCAGGACTGTATTTTTTAGAAGGTGGGCATCTCTGTAGCCCAAGCTTGCAGATTCACAGTGCTGCTTCTTTCTCAGCCTCTCATATGCTGGAATGGGTGTGTACCGTGATGCGGGCTCCTCAGGAAGACACATTTAACTTTGTCTAATGCCGTGTCTGCACTTGAGCTCTGTCCTGAAGTTTATTTATATCATATCTTATATTGCTTGTTTTGCGCAGCTCTGTGTCCCTTAGATAAAACCGTTTGGATTGTGGTATCTGGTTTAATACATTCTGGAATACAGTCTTTGAGTATTTTGTTGAAGAATTTTCACCCAGTATGCGTTAGAGAAATTGGCCTTTCATGTTCTTATTATATCTTTATTCAGTCTTGCTGGTATGGTTATCTTGGCCTGACAGAATGAGTTCGGCAGAGTTATTCCCGTTCTTTTTGGTAGAATGTGAGAGTTCTGGTGTTAGGTCCTCTAAGTATTTGGCACAGCCTGTGCTGCATTTGTCTGGTCCTGGACTTTGTTTTATAAGCCTTCTTCTCACTGCTCCAGTCTCCTGGCTTGTTAAGGGCCTAGCTAAAGGCTTGTGTCTTACAGATTGAAGTGTGGTAAATTGTAGGCCTTTAGAAATTAATTCCTTTCTTCTGTGTTTTCCAGCCTTTGGAATATAAGTTTTCAAAGCATTCTCTAGTGATCTTTTGGATTTCATTGGCTCTATGGTAACAACTTGCTTTTCATCTTTATTTTTATTAATTTGTTTTAGCGTCTTGTTTTTTCGAAAGCTTTACCTGAGGTCTCTGAATTTTTACCATCTTACTGACAGTAGTAAGCGTCTCTCCGGGCTCCTGGGCGGTACACAGAGGGGCAGGAGATTACCATCTTTTTCATTTGCTTCATTGAGAAGTGTGTGGTTTGGGATCCAAGGTTTCTTGGCTGTTAGTTATTTCTACGTATGTTCCACTGTGGTCTGGCAGCAGAAAGGGAGTCTTTTTCTGTCTGCTTACCTCTACCTGTCTACCTGTCTGTGTGTTGATCAGATTTTGTGTGAAGATGGAATAACTAGTAGATATTGTTAAACTCAGTTGACTCATGGTGTAGTTCAGCCTTAAAGTATCTGTTATGGGTTTTAGTTTGGAGGAACTATGTACGTATGCCTGATGGGTATTGGCTCACACAGTGAAATTCTGTCAGCACCTTTCACAACACGGTTTCATGAGTGAATCTTTATAATTATTAGATGTTCCTGGTGAGTTGTTCCTTTCTTAGCTCTTACTGTTTGACTTTATTCTTCTGACTTTGTGTCAAAGTTACTGTATCAGATGCAGCACTAGCTCTGTCTGCTTGTGCACACGTTCCTTTGTGTGGTCGGTTGATTTCTAGCCTCCACCTCGGTTTTTGGGCATCTTCGGTAGCTAAGTGTATTTCTGAGAGAGAGCGGTTAGCTTGCATCTGCTGGCTGGCGAGCTAATGCTGTTTGCACTAAGGTTGTTACTGAGAGAGCATCCCTGTTTCCTGTTGGTGTTTCGGTTGCTCAGATCATTCGTTTTTCTTTGCTCCTCCCCCTTCGTATTAGGGCTTTTATGGTTTGCACATGACTGACTTTTTCCCGGCTCCTGGCTCTTGCTTCTTTCTTCCATGAAATGTATTCTTTCCAGTATTCTTATGGATGAAGCTTTCTTTCCCCGTGTGTTTGTCTTGAAGTGTCCTTATTTCTCCATCGGTTGTTAAAGATAGCCTCGTTAGGTATATCAGGCTTAACTGTCAGTCATTGTTTTCAGGGCTTGCTTGGCTTTCTCCGCTGCAGATGAAGGCTCTACTGTTGAGATTTCTGCCTTTGTAAAGTGGCTTTTTCCCATCCGGTTCTTGGCATTGCTCCTTTGTTTTGCATCTTTGAGAACTTGACTGTGATGTGAGGAGATTGTCTTATCTAGCCATATCTGTTTTCGGTTCTAAATGCCTCTTGAGTTGGGATGTCTATTTGTTTTTCTGCTTGGGACATTTTCTGCTATAATTTTGTTGATTAAGTTACTTTTGATTTTTAATTTTATCTCAGCTCCTTTAAGCCGGTGCTTGAGGCCACACCTCAAAGGGAAAATTCCACCCCTTCCCCAGCAGTGTGGGTGGCCGATAGCTTCTCAGTAAGGGTGAAGCCTGGCACCTCCCCCGTCTGTGCCAGGCCGGGATTGTGGCTTGAGTGATCTTGTACAGCCTTGTACAGGTAGCTGCAGCTGCAGCCAGTTCATGGATAAGGCTGTATGCCACATCCAGAAGACGGCACCCATAGCCCCTCCGCACCCTCAGCCTTTAATACTCTTCCTGCCTCCTCCTCGGTGAGGTTTCGGGAATGTATAGTTCTGTTACTGCTGCAAAATGCATACTTCATGTTTCCTTTACCTCCATCTGGCAAAGCTCTCTCCCTTGCCACCTTCAAGGAACCTCAAATGGGAAGGTAATTAAACAAGTGATTGTGCTTGCCTTGGTTAGTTCAGTAATTAAACCTCTATTTGTCTTCCTATGGACATCTGTTTATGCCTGTCATCTACGTCTGTGTCATCTGTTTTTATTTAACTTGCATTAATGATAGCTTGTTTTGTGTGAATATACTGGTGCTGTTGAGCTGTTTCCTGGTGTGGAGCTTCTCACAGATGAGCCGGTGCTGAAAGACCAGCTCTTCTGTGGGGGTAAGGCCAGCGGGGAACTTCCCAGCATGGCAGGGGCCATGAGCATTGCTTTTGTGTGTGTCCCCTGCGAGATGCTGTGTGTCCATCCTTAGGCAGCCGCCAGGACCCATCAACTCCCATTTCTCCTGTCCTTGTCTTTCAGATGAAACCGAGTATGAGTACAGTGGGAGTGAGGAAGAAGAGGAGGAAGTGCCTGAACAGGAAGGAGAGCCAAGGTACTGACGCCACCGGGGCTGCCTTATGAGTGATCAAGCTCCGTTGATGCCAGCCTTCTGGAAGGCCCTCTAGCCACAGACGGGCCTGGCCCCCTTCCTGCCTGCCTTTCTTCTCCCCCATGACAGATTTCTGTCAACAGCTCCCCACCCCAAGCTCTTACCTGGTGTTTTGGTTTTGTTTGTAACCGAGTTTTACGTCGGAGGCTGAGGAAATGGTGCTTCTGACATTTCTTGCTCCAGAAGGCAGAGTGGTCCAGGTCTTCTGCGGACAGTCAGTCCCGCCACAGAGCAGCGTCGGTTCAGTCCTGCAGGGCCTCTGGTGCCAGACTCCTTCCCGGAGCCTTGTGTCCCTCTGTGCAAGTGCGGTTGCCAGCGTTTGGCCCCCTCGGAGTGTGTTCTGCTCTTGGTTTATCTCAGTGATGCCTGGCCAAAGGTTGAAAGAGCGGACTTACTCAATCACATTTTTACTTCGTGGGTTTGCCTGACTGTCGTTTCACCTGGCCTCACGTATGCCTGAGTACTAAACAAAACCAAGAGAGAAGGTCGTGTTGAGACCTGTGGGAGCCATGTGCTGGGAATGGGAGTTCAAAATCGTACACTAACTTAAATAGAAGATCGAGTCCATTTCAATCTAAAGTTTTAGAGAAGTTAGAATTGATGTCGTGAGCGATAGAACGGCTCTTCGGGAGTCCAGTGATATGTGTGTGATGCACAGTGCGTGTATAGGAGGAGGAGTTTATGGTTTGTGTCTCCGGATTCCGTGTAATATGAGCTTGGGGAGCAGTCCCCAAAGCAGGAAAGACGTGAGCCAAGGTTTCTGTGCGAGCCCATTCTCGAGGGCCTGCTGCCACCCCTGATCATAAAACATTGAGGCAGAGGGCAGAGCTGGCCTGGTGCTGGCCAGAGGGAATGAAGGACTGATCCGTGAGCACTGCCCTTTCTTTGTAATCATGAAAAATGAAGAGGGCCAGCGTGAGACCGTGACGTGAGACAGGTGAGCTCAGCCCTACGCTGTTGCCTGAACTGATGTGAGAGGCCCAGGTAGAAATGCTTGGCCACCAGGACGGAGCTTTCAGACATTATAAATGATAGAGGAAGGTGCGAGGCCTCTGAGCAGTGGGCGCAGTCACTCTGGGGGGCGGGGTCATTCTGGTGGACACCTTGCCTGAAGCCTGGGCTCAGGAAGCTGGGCCCAGGCTGCTCATGTGCTCAGAGGCTGATGTGACAGAGCCTGATGGCCCTGTTCCCCGCAGCTCCATCGTCAATGTGCCTGGAGAGTCCACACTGCGTCGGGATTTCCTGAGGCTGCAGCAGGAGAACAAGGAGCGCTCTGAGGCCCTGCGCAGGCAGCAGCTTCTGCAGGAGCAGCAGCTCCGGGAGCAGGAAGAGTATAAGAGGCAGCTGCTGGCTGAGCGGCAGAAGCGGATCGAGCAGCAGAAGGAGCAGAGGCGGCGGCTGGAGGAGGTAGGAAGCTCCGTGTCGGTTCCTCCTCCTCGCCCGTTTCCACATCTGCTGGGTACGCAGTTGGACACGCGGCCGCTTGTTGGGGAGACGCGAGGCCAGAGGTCCACGGCCTGCTGCAGTGCCGCAGAGCACTTCTGGAGGGATGCGTGGCCATGCACCAGCAGGCCTCACATCCTCGAGGCCCTGGGAATGTGTTTCTTGATAAGCGTGCCGAGGAGCTGCCTGACACTTAGATGCATTTGGTGCGGAACTGCAGGTCCTCAAGATAGCCCTAGACCAGCTTGCTGGAGTGCTTCTGTGGTGCTCAGATTGACTCACTTACACTTGACCTAACTCCTTTGCCATTTCTTGGCTGGTGTGCCCCAATTTTGTATTTTTCTGAAACCTCAGACTTTTTCTTATGAAAAACATCGCTCCCTAAATGCAATCCCTTTGGGGTGGATTTAAGAGTAAGAAAAATGGAGGCCAATGAGATGGTTCCACAGATTAGGTGCTTGCCACCCCCGTGGTGACCAGTTTGACTGCCCCCTCCCCTCCCCCGTCCCCGGTGGTGTGGAGACCAACCCCAGCAAGCTGTCCTGACGTCACCCGTGTGCTTGCACACATCCCACAAACAAACGTAAATGTTGTTGTTTTTTTTTAAAGAGAAATTCAGAAGGTAGAATAGTCAGTAAGATTAGCTGCAGTTTGTGGCAGGGAGCACAGGGCGCACCAAGGTCATTTAAGCCGTTAGTGTTGACAGTGTAGTTACTCATAGGTTAATTTTATTTCTAATTCACAAACATGTACCATTTCCCTGTAATTCCCTTGAGAATCAAGACTTTGATTTTCTTTTCTTGACTGCCTTCTACTTCATACGCCTCTAAGTTCGCCTTCATCATTTGTTTCTATTTGTTTTAAACGTTTTTTTAACCTTTGTTTTCTCTAGCAGAGGAATCATCAAAAATAAAGGCTGTAATGACATGTTCAGTGGGATTTAGATTAATAACAGACACGCGCAGGTTGTGGAGGAGTCTGTGCTCTCACCGCTGATGTGCTCTGCGGAGGACCCGTGCTCTCGCGGGGGGAGGTGGTGGGGTATGTAGCTAGGACTCCAGGAAGAGAACTCGCTAGTGTCCGTAACTTGTAAACGCTTACGTGCGGTCCTCTGTGAGATCTTTCCCGAGGCTGCTCTCACCACTGTGTGAACAGCAGAAAGCTGGATGAGTTTGTGGCCCACACGGTCCGGGAGGCGCCCACCATGTCCCGGGACACTGCCCACTGCCCAGGTGGGTGGCCCGGTTCCCCAGGGCTCCAGACTCTCCACCGTCTAGTCCCTGAGACAGGCACCGTCATCTTGTTTCTCAGGAAGCAGGTCCTCGGGAGTTAGACTGGCTGCCTCAGTGTTTCCGTTATTCTCTGTAAGGCCACCCTCGGGGCCCGTACACGCAGTGGACTGTCTGTTCCTCTCCTGAAGGTGACTTAGACGTGGAGAGGGAAAAGGGACCTAAACATAGCCATTTCTTCATGGAACTTAAATTCTAAAAACGTTTTACTTGAAGCCAAGAAGAAAATGCTTTTTGAAAGCTTTCAGTTGATAGTTGAGTTTTTTTTTTTTTAAGGTTTATTAATTTTATGTGTATGAATGTTTGACCTGCTTGTATATAGTGCACCATGTGGGCCTGTCATGCTCACAATGACCAGAAGAGGGCATCAGTCCCCTGATTTGAGTTATAGATGGTTGTGAGTTATAGATGGGCGCTGGGAACTGAGCCCGGGGCCTCTGGAAGAGCAGCCAGGGCACTCCACCTCTAAGCCGTCTCTCCAGCCCTAGAGGCTGGTTTCTGTGTTTCAGAGACGTTATCTTTGTCTTCTTCCTGATAATATATTTTAATTAAATTTAGTGGTTTTATTACTTAAACTAATTGAATAAAAGGTCATGTTGACTTTGCTCTGTCACTGGGCGTGGCATGGCGTGCAGCACAGAGTGGCCGTTAGAGCCAGCGTGGCCGAGTTAGCAGAGGCTTTGGCTGGGGACATTATTCAAGTCATTTCCTTTTTCTGAGTCTGTTGTCCCTACAGTAGGGGTGAGGTCCCAACTCCTTAGGGTTCTCAAGACAATTATACTTAGATACGACAGATAGAGATTTTTAAATGTTTAGTTTCTGACACAAAGGCAGGGACATAGAAGCTCCCAGTTCTCTCCCAGGTTGCTGTGAGGTGTCCCTGGCAGGAAGAGCAGTGTTTGGTTTGTTGCTAATGTCGATTTTGTTTTGTCTTTCTCATGCATGCTTCTCAGTTTTCAGATATTTGCCTTCTTTGTCCTTTTCTCTACCCTTTATTCATTTCTTTCTTTTCAGTCTGACTTTTGGTCCTGGATAGTTAGTGATGCCCATGACCGAAGGTCTTGCTGACCTCTAGGTGGCACAGTAGGCGTGACGGGTGATAGCTGCCCGCGTGGGAACCAGGGCAGCGGTGATGGGGTGACCAGGGCACGCGTGGGCATACTGGCCGTGCGCCTGCTCGCCACGGCAGCGCATCTCAGCCGGGCTGGCGGCCCCGGTGACTGTATGCTTCTGCTTCTACAGCAACAGCGGCGAGAGCGGGAGGCCAGGAGGCAGCAGGAGCGCGAGCAGCGGAGGCGCGAGCAGGAGGAGAAGAGGCGCCTGGAGGAGCTGGAGCGCAGGCGCAAGGAGGAGGAGGAGCGGAGGCGGGCGGAGGAGGAGAAGAGGAGAGTGGAGCGGGAGCAGGTGAGGCCTAGGGAACGCTGGTTCCTCATCCTAGAGAGCTGCGGACTGGGGCAGAGGTACGCACACGTGTGTACAGCCCCGGGCATGTGTGTGTGCACACTCAGAGGCCTAGGTGTCTAAACACAGCGGAAACACCAGCAACTTGACTCCTCTCTTCCAAAAGTATAACAACAGTCACAGGTCAGAGACCCTTTGAAACTAGCGGAGTCTGAAGAGTGCCGTGCAGCAGACGTGTGAATACACGCTCACAGCTTGGCGCACGTGCTCTCAACTCCAGGTGTCTGATACATGGTTGAAATACCTAGTGGCTGAGTGAGCGCTGTAGTACAAGTTTGCATGCACACACACGCACACACACATAGATGCACATTTGTAGCATTGAAGATTTTTCTGTAGTTAATGAAAAAGTGTTTTATTGCTTGTGTAGCTTATCTGCAAACTTCATAAACTGTGCAGGCAGAAGGTAACTTTTCTTAGTTTCTTTGACTCTCCTGTCTTGGAAATGATCGTTCTGTGTCTTGAGCTCTGAGTAAAGAACACCAGTGAACGGGGTCACTTTGAAGAGTGCCTGGAGTTCCGGTTTAGAGCACTTACAGACCTTGACTTTATCCTCGGCGTGTGGCGGTCCGGCCACTGTCCTCGGTTCTCCCAGGGCCTCAAGTGAGTGTCTGACCTTGGGTGTGCACAGGCACCCCCGTTTCCCAGAGCCTCACCTCCGTGCTGTCGCCTGCCTGCTGCTGTCTAACTCTTGGCTCTCACAGTGGTGCCTACCTGTTTACAGTAGTTAAGTATTAATATTTTTATCGTGTTTATACCCGAGTACTACAAAGTTGTGAATGCTCCTTGTCAGGTCACCTGGGCATGTGACCGCGTGGGACTGTGACGAGAAGCTTGGTGACACTTCACCTGTAATGCGGTGTTGGCGCTTGTCACGATCTTGTGAGCGATGGCTGAGCAGCTCTTCTGGAGGAGCCTGGCTTAGTTCTCAGCACCGCGTGGCCCCTCACGGCGTGTGTAACTCCAGCTCAGGGATCAGTGCACTTTTCCTGGCCTCTCCCAACAGTGCATACATACAGTATACAAATGTATGCGGACACAACACTCACAACATAAAATATACATAAATCTTAAGAACTTTGGAAAAAATTGAGAATAGCAAGTGCCCTGCCCTTTAAGGGTTCCTTAAGCTGGCTGTTTTACTCCGGTTTTCTTTTCTGATTGCACCGTTTCTCTGTTAAACTCGCTGAAGCAAACGTTGCATTCCTGTGCAAGTGTGTAAGCGTGTAAGTGTCCTGTCCTCTGTGCCCACTGTGTGTCCAGCATCTTTGTGAGTAGACACTGGTTTTCCCCGATTTTTCTTGCATTTTTTAAAGTCAGAAACAACAAAAAATATAGTATCTTTCTAGTTTGGATTTAACTCTTTTTTCAAAAAATAAGTGACTTGGGACTCATACTCCCTTTCTCAGACAGCTAAGGCTGCATGTCCATCAGGGAGCACTTGGTGGCCTCGAGTGACCGCAGGGTGTCAGGCACCAGCGAAAGCCACCTGGCTTTGGGGTTTCAGTTGGGTGGAAGTGTCTGCAGGTCACTGTTTCTCTGCCGTCTGCTGTCTCCTGAGCAGAACTGTTGGTTGCCTTAAACTTTGTTCAGCCCGAGTCTTTGGCTCATTTTGCTTCAAGGGTGTGCCTTGAAATGGGGCCACTATAGAAACAGAACCCAACTCCTGGGACGCTTTCCCATGCCCCTCCTTTGCTTCCTTCCGGGACAGGTAGGTGGTGGTGGTGGTTCTCCTTTGGAAAAGAAGGTGTCCTATAAAATGCTGTTCTCTTGAGAAGCGTCCCTGGCGGCTCACGGGCCGTCTCTCGGGCGCGAAAGCAGATCGTGAAAGGTTAAATGCGCGCAGCGGCTTGTCCTGGTGGACCTGGGTGCGGGCTCTCCTGACATCTTCCTCCAGACACAATGTGTGTAACTTCAGGGCTGAGTGTGCTCCCGCCTCTCACATACCCCTCCCCAGTGCTGGAGCTTGAACTGAGGGCTTTAAGCGTGTCAGGGTGTGTACTCCGCTTTTGATGACCCGTTCCCATCGTGATGCAGAGCGGCCATTTTTCTCCCACTGTCATGGCGTCATCGGCCCGCCACGTGTGCCTGTGCACGCAAGCTCACCACCAAGAGCTTGGTTGGTTTACTTGTAGACGGCTCCCCCAGGCTGTGATTCCTGGCCGTACCCTTCAGCCTTCAGCCACTCCAGGCACCGTTGGCGTCATCGGCAGAAGCACAGATCACGTTGGGTGGGTTTTTTGTTTGTTTTTGTTTTGAAGTCTTAGATTTGGGTTTTAGTTTTCAAAAGCTGCTGGTCTGTGCTTATTTAAGATGATGCCTTGGAAGCAGATCTTCCCTAACCAGCATCCCTGAGTCTAAATAAACTCGAGTTGTCCGAGGAGCCTGCTATCCCTCGGAGGAAGATGCTCTTCAGACTTCCGCATTGAGTGTGATGAGAGTGTCTCAGTGCTCCCACACCACCATGTTCGAGGCCAGAGTGTGTCTGACTCCGCGCACCTCTCTGCCCCACTGGAAGCCTCAACAGCAGGTTGTCTTTAGCTGCAGTGCCCACTCCTGGGCGAGCTTGTGGTCAGGCTTGTGGGCAGTTCCTGGTTGCCCGCACAGGAGAAGGATGCTCCTCCTGGGTGTACTGACCGCTGGGTGATTTCCTTGTGACAGGAGTACATCAGGCGGCAGCTGGAGGAGGAGCAGCGGCACCTGGAGATCCTTCAGCAGCAGCTGCTCCAGGAGCAGGCCATGCTACTGGTAACGCCCCGCCTCTGTCCTGTTCCCTAGCCACAGGCCGGTTGTCCCTCCCCAAAGTTGGCCAGCCTACGGTGGCTGTCAAGGCTTTTTGGGCTTGCTGTGGTGGCCAGGTTCTGGAGAAGATCTACTCCTTTGTGGCCATGGCGCCAGGCGCAGTGTAAATTGGCCCGTGCTTATTTCCCTCTAGGAAGTTGACTCCTTGTTTGCTAGATTCCTGTCAGGCCTTAGGCAGAGCTTGGCACTCAGTGGATGGAAACGCTGAAGGTGTCAGGCGCACTGTAGGATTTGTGCTGAGTCTGTGTGTATGTTACACTGTATCTTATGTTGGCTTGAATTACAGTTAGCAAATGCTGTCACATTTTACACAGGTAACATGCTATTAAAACCCAGCCATTTTGCCTGGCTCTCACACAAGGGGAGGAAAACGCTGTTTAAAAAAAGACAGAAGTTGAGAAGGGCTCCAGAGGAGAGCTGAGCTCGCCACAGCCCCAGATTCAGTGTTGCCCTCTCCCTCTCCAAGGAGTGCCGCTGGCGGGAGATGGAGGAGCACCGGCAGGCAGAGAGGCTCCAGAGGCAGTTGCAACAAGAACAAGCATATCTCCTGTCTCTACAGCACGACCACAGGAGGCCGCAGCCGCAGCAGCAGCCGCCGCAGCCACAGCCGGACAGGAGCAAAGCCAGCTACCATGCTCCAGAGCCCAGGCCTCCTCACTACGACCCTGCTGACAGAGCGCGCGAGGTACCTGCTTTCACTTACTGCCTATATTCTGGTCCTGAGAGAGCTCTGGGACGTTCCCTCGTGACTGTTGAGCACTGTACCGTGAGCGCCAGGCTGGACCTTGGTGCCAGCCAGTGGCTCACCTCCGTTTTCCACACGGATGCCTCCGTTAGCAAGTATTAGAGGAATTGGAAAGGGAGCCACGCAGAAAGAATGCTTGGTGCCATATTCTCTAGCGAGTGAGTGGGAGAAATGTTGGTCTGGCCTAGAGCTCGTGTGAGGAGGAGGTAGGCTTTCACCGGATTTTTTACGGCTTAGTTGGTGCTTAGATCACCAGAGGGTGAGGGTAGCCAGCAGCCTCCTGCTCCCGTTCGGGCTTGGCAGAAGGGTGTGGCTGGCCTGCAGGTCCTTCCCGTGTGCTCACCTTCAGGGAGGAGAAGCAGGGAGCAGACATTAGAGTCACGGAGCAAACCTTAGCCCTGCTCCAGCACCACTGTCCAGCTCTGTCTCACAGCTGAAGAAAACAGATCTCTCCTGCTTGTCCTGCTTTTCCTCTCGTCTCTCCCCCCCCTACTGACATGGAGCGTGTCTTCTAACTCTCTGCTGCAGGTGGAAGATAGATTTAGAAAGACTAACCACAGCTCCCCCGAGGCCCAGTCTAAGCAGACAGGCAGAGGAGCGGAGCCGCCAGCGCCGTCCCGGTCAGAGTCTTTCTCCAGCGGCAACTCCGAGTCTGTGCACCCCGCCCTGCAGAGACCAGCGGAGCCCCAGGTAGCAGCCGCAGCCTTCGCTGTGCGGGGCGGCCCGGCGCCACACTTACCACCGCCACAGCTGGAAGAGAGGAGGGCTGGGGTCGGTCTTTTTAAGATTTTCCCTTCGACCCATTAGCGTGCTGCCAGGCAGCAATCTCATTTCCCCCTCCTTAACTCAATAGGGAAATCCCTCCTTCTTGCACAGATTTTTTGATTAGGCTTTTAGGAAGTTGATTTTACTGTGTAAGCGCATCAGAAGAGAGCCGGGGCCCTTTCTCCCACACTCTTTACAGTGGGTTGCTACCTTTGTGGTGCGCGGCTGAAGACCCTCAGAGGCCCCCCGTGCAGTTTCACACACGATTCTGCTTATTTGGCTGACTCAGTAGATTTTTCTATGGAAAGAAAAACTTAATCAGAGTCTCACCCGTGTCAAGATTGGAAACAGGTTATGGCCAATGGGTTGAATATTGATCTCCTGTAGGAGGTCAGGACAGAGGTTACAGCCTTTCCTTACTCTGCCTTGTCTGAGTGCTCGGGACAGAAGCTGCCGTGTTCTCTGGAAAGGAAAGTACAGGACAGGAAGGCTGAGCCTGCATCTCGGGCCCAAACACCGTTTCTGGCGCTCTCCCTCAAGAGGCTGCTCTGTAGTGCAGATGGCCTGAGACATACCCCTGAGCAACCTGTGCTTGGCACTGGTGTTTGCCCTGCACATTGTACTCACCCGAGAATTTGGGTGTGCTTTGCAGTCGCAAAGCCTCCTGGGTAGTCAGCGGCTGTGGCGCAGGGTTTAGACAGGCAGATCTGAGGCCCACTGTGTGAGGCGGGCATTGTGTAGTGCAGCAGAGAGCCTCAGAGAGTAAAAGAAGAAGACAGTAGCGTGAGAGAGATGCTGTGTAAGAGGCTGCCCTGCTCCTCAGCTCCGTGCTGCGCTTCTCCCGAGATGCACAGGAGCCATCTGTCCTGAAGCTGGACCCAGCCCAAGGGTAAACTGACCTGAGCAGCAGAGACCCCGGGAGCCCCTGGGTTAAGCTCCCACGCTATTGATGCGGGTTGGTTCAGAAGCCATCCTGCTCTTCCCCTCCCCTACCAGGAGCGCTCCAGGCCGAGTTCTTGAGGACACACCCATGTGGCTCCTAACGCTGAGTCCCTCTTACTGCTGTTGTGTGACACGTTCATTTCTGTTTTCACAGTGAATACTTAAAACGTTTCAGTAGTATGAGGCTGTACCAAAGCTAGGTTCTCTGGCTCCACTGTGAGCCACAGGGCCTGCGCACCATGGTGTAGCCGCCGGCAGGGACTGGTTCTGCCTGCAGAAGCCAGCAAGGGAGGCCTTGTGGGAGCTAGAGCTGCCACAGCTGTCCTGTTGGTTGTTCTGTGACAGCGACAGTGCTTGCTGAAGATACTGTGTAGATTTCTGAGTAGCTTTTAAAGCAGCTGGCATATAGTCACATTCTTGAATTCTGAGTTCTGGCTGCTCAGTCCAGGGTATCTTGGGACTGGACATTTTGCTAAAGAAGTTTTAATCCTACTTTTTTTCATAACTCATAGAAGTAGTATAAATTCACCTAGGTTTTGAACATTTTGAACATGGGAGGAAATTTTTAAAAAGCAGGTAAATTTGAGAAGTTGCTCTGCTACAGTCTTGGCATAGGAGGAGCGTGTGCATCATCACTGATGTGGCCTGCTCCCCGCCGCGTTCTCATTGGGGCTGGGGAGGTCGGCCGTGTGGCACTTTCCCGTCCTGCGGGTCCCGCCTCTCTCTGTGCGGACGCTCTCCTCTCGGGTCTGTAAGTGCTCCTGTTCACTGTTTCCTCTGAGTGTGCATTGTTCCTTCTCGCCTCTCCATCAGGGCGGAACCAGGCTCCGTGCTGGGCTCCGTGCCGGGCGCCGTGCCGCCCTGATTCACATCCACTCCTGCTCACTCCTGTTTGGGATGTAGTGCTGGCCAGAAAAGCTGGCTGTGCGCAGAAGGCATTGAATGTCGTGTGTTTTGTTCTCTTGTAAGGTCCAGTGGTCCCACCTGGCATCTCTCAAGAACAATGTTTCCCCTGTGTCGAGGTCCCATTCCTTCAGTGACCCTTCTCCTCCCAAATTCGCACACCACCATCTTCGTTCTCAGGACCCATGCCCGCCCTCCCGCAGTGAGGCGCTCAGTCAGAGCTCTGACTCTAAGTCAGAGGGACCCGACCCCACCCAAAAGGCGTGGTCTAGATCAGACACTGACGAGGTGCCTCCAAGGGTAAGGAGCAGACAGACAGCGCCCTGCTGTTTCTCTTTATTCCAACTGTTTGCTGTGATGATGGGAGCAGTGATGTCACAACAGAATCTCAAAGGCACTGTGGAGGGACAGTGTCCCATACCTACACGGTCACCCTCACCCAGTGTCGATTAGATTTTTATTGTTACCTGTTTTTAAACGTAATTCAGTAAGAAACATTTAAGGGAAAAGTTACAAGCAACATGCTTCCTAAAATAAATAGAATTGTAAATTTATCTGGAAGCTATCCATCATTGTGTATAACGTCAAGGACTTCAGAAAAAAATCTTACGAGGAAAAAATGAACAAGAAAACTTTTTTAAAAAAAATTTTAAAGCTGTTTCTTAGTAAATAGCACAAGGAGATTAAAAGGCACATTTTAGTATATTTTTCCCCTCCACCTGGAATTTGCTTCCTCTGAATATTTTCTTGCTCCTTTGCCAGTCTTTGCTTTCTGCTAATCTGTTTAAGGACCATTGTTTGATCTCTTTGAGCTTATTTGCTTGACTCTCACATCATCTCAGCAAAGTGCTGTTGTGTGTTCCCTGCGGCTTCAGTGCAAACGTCACAGCAGCGTGGCAGGACTATAGAGATGTCCAGGCTGTGGACAGGAGCAGGGGGGCCGGGGTTGACGGTCGGTTTGTCCGCCTAAGGAGGACTGTGTTCGAGTGTGTGTGCAGAGGACAGCACTGTTCATCCCGGTCAGTCCTAACTGCTGTTCCCTGCCTGCAGGTTCCCGTGAGAACAACGTCCCGCTCCCCCGTCCTGTCCCGTCGGGATTCCCCACTGCAGGGCAGTGGACAGCAGAATAGCCAAGCAGGACAGAGAAACTCTACCAGGTACGGGAAAAGTGACAGGAAGAAGTGTGCTCTGCGTGGCCGTCTCGTAGAGAGCCAGCCTCTGTCTGTGTTTATGAATGTGCCCCTTTCAACACCGAGGTTCTAGACAGAAGACACGATCTGTTTCGCATAGGCGTGCGCACACACACACACACACGCACGCAGCAGCAGCAGCAGCAGCAGCAAATTGATCAGTAGTGAAAAGGTTTGAATCCTGGTGTGTGCTGTAGCAGTTATAAAATGAAAGTACTTTTGTCTGTGAAACAGAGGAGGGAGGATTGGGAACAGGCCCTGAGAAACTTGTGATTTGAGAGTTTTTCAGTCTGAAGGAAATGGTGAGGGTTTGGACTGGTGTGAAAGAATCATGACGAAGTCAGTGTTACACAGCAGTGTGCAGTGGTCTCTAAGCTGGCCGATGGCGTCCTGGCCGAGGGTCAGGGGCTGTGGCTGACGCGGTTGGCGGTATGAATTCAACCTAATTAAAATGAAATAAAATTAACACGTCACCTCCTTGGTGGTTACAGCCATGTTTCCAGGGCTCAGTCACGTGGTTAGTTCGAGGCTCTGACGTTTGCTCACGTGGCGTGTGCTGCATGTTTAGCTTCCTGAAAAGCATAGTCTCTCGCCGTTGCCCTGAGATGAGCACTGTCAAGCGTTCGGTCGTCACTGACCCGCTGTGTGGGCAACTTGGTGCAGTTACGGTGGCCAGCTTGATGATGACCCAGGGCCTGCAGGCAAGGGCGCCGCTGTCCTCCCTTGACGGTGTCCAGCGCATGGACCCGAGCATAGGTGCGCTGTGGTCTGACCTCGGCAGGGAAGCCTCCCAGCTCTGCTTCCTCAGCTCAAACGGATGCGCCATGGGCATTCAGAGCCATGGAATGATGGTGAGTGAGGTCAGCCTAGAGACACAGCATTTTCTGGGTAATTATTTCTAACCAGAACTCTCTAGACAGGATGGAAATATTTGTAGTTGTGAACAGCCACATAGCCTTTCCTGTGAAACACGGATTTCACATGCTTTCGAAGGAAGATACCACCTAACGCCTTCCAGTTTCGGATGTCCAGATGCTGAGCCTTCACAGTGTGCGGTGCACTGTGCATTAACTACTGTCTGCAGGCCTCTCTCCTCCCCGACGTCCACATCACACACCTGTTTATGCCACACTGCAGTGGGCTGACACTGTTCGTCCTCTTTTCTAACAGCAGTATTGAGCCCCGGCTCCTGTGGGAGAGAGTGGAAAAGCTGGTCCCTCGGCCAGGCAGCGGCAGCTCCTCAGGGTCCAGCAACTCAGGATCCCAGCCCGGCTCCCATCCTGGCTCCCAGAGCGGCTCCGGTGAACGCTTCAGAGTGAGATGTAGGCTGCCTCTCCTGCACACTCTCTGTGGGAACAGACATGGCTGTAGTGAGCAGTTAGGATAGCTCATGTGTGAGACCGGAGCTGGCATGTCACAAAGTGGTGTTTTGACGTAGATGGCTGAGGGTGACTTTACTCGGAAAGCTGGATTTCCAGGGCAGCAGAGGCCTAAATGCCTGAGCTGGGATTTGAACACCTCGATTTCGGTTTGAGGTCTGCTGCCTGTGCCCCAGGCGGTGTGCTCTGTTGATGACAGGAGTTGGAACTCCCTTTAGTTCCTCTCAGCACGTGGGAACGCACAGTAGGTAGATGTGGAATTTTAAGTGAGACTTCACAAAGGCTGCCATGTCCCCCGCTTTTGCCTGGAGTTCAGACTCCTTGGGGACCTTGCTATGGGTGGGGTCAACGGAAGTCAGAAGGGGGAAACGGGAAGCTTCGGTAGCGGGGGGGGGTGGGGGTGCGTGCAGGACAGCTTATGACACGCGTGTATCCATGTGTTTCTGCCTTTTCTGTCTCTTCTGAACCTGACAGCGTCATCCAAGTCTGAAGGCTCGCCGTCCCAGCGCCTTGAAAATGTAGCCAAAAAGCCTGAAGAGAAAAAAGAAGTATTCCGACCCCTCAAGCCTGCTGTAAGGACTGTAAAATCAGCTGGTGCCATTTTAAGCCTGAGTGGAACCTCTGTGTTCAGAGTAGGCTTACAGGGCTGGGGTATGTGGCTGCCTGTGGGAGGGCACGCTCAGTCTCTAGGAAGAAGAAGAGAAGGAGGCTGAGACTCCCGCAGTGTTTATGGGGAAGCATGTCCTGTGCCAGGCTGCCCTTGCGGGTGTTCCTGAGACATCTTAACTTCTGATGTTCTTAGTAGGGCCGCTTTTGTTGTCTGCTTCAGCCTTACAAGTAGTGTTCAGTGAGCATTACAGAGAAGAACAGAAGAAAATGTAGTTTTATTTGAATAACATTCTTTGAGGAAGCAAGCACCTTATAGTAATACTAGTTAGGAGCTACAAGCCCCAACACACACACACACACACACACACACACACAAACACACACAGTTACTGCTTGACATTGGCCATCCTTGATGAGTTTGGCATTTACAGTATGTTTTCAGGATACATTTTTATAAATCGGCCTCTCGAAGCCTCCTGTTGCTGGAATGCTTTTGGTCTCTGGAATGGTGGCTGCTGCCCCTGCCTCCCTGCCCCTACTGTACTGGCTAGTCACGTGACTGTGGGTGGGTGTGGAATTTTCAGCCTGTTGCTGTTGTAGATTCCGGCTTTAACTGATTTCTGGACTTCTCCCCCCCTCCTGCTGCCTGCTCCCTCTCTCGTCACCGATGATGGCCTCTTCTCTGCCTTGGTGAAACCGCGCCCCGCAGGGTGAAGTGGTAAGCCCAGCCTCTGACAGGCCCAGCTGCTTCCGCAGCACTCTCTCTGCCTTCCAGCTCTGCTCAGACGTGAACTCTGCCTTCAGCTTGCCTTCTTACTATTTTCTAGCCTTACAAGCTCAACTTTAGTGATAGTCAGCTATTGAAGCAGATATTCGTTGTTTCAGACTTAGCTCTGCTGAACAGCTGTTTTACAGCTGTTGCTTTGCCAGAAGTTGACAGAACATTGTGGGTTCAAACTCGCTCCCTGATAACTCAGAGGCCCAGGGTCAGAGATTAAAAACATTCTTAACCGCGTGAAAGAAGAGAACTAAGTAGAAAGGGAGAAACCGTTATCTGTTGGTTTTTAATTTTTTAGATTTATTTACTGTGTGTACAGTGTTGTGCGTGCTCACCAGAAGAGGGCACCAGGTCTCACTACAGACGCTTGGGAGCCGCCCTGTGGGTGCTGGGAATTGGACTCCGGACCTCTGGAAGGGCAGCCCGTGCTCTTAACCGCTGAGCCGTCTCTCCAGCCTGTATAGATGGTTTTTAAATACTGTTGTTTTTAAATAAAACTCCCAAGTAGAGCAGCGCATTTGGACTTAACACGTAAATGGGAGGAGTGAGCTGTCATAACTGAGTAGACTTAGCAGGTTGATAAGAATCTTAAAGTGTCTCAGAAGAGTAGCGAAAAGTGAAGCCCGTCTGCAGTAAGTCCCTCTCACATCCACGCTCACTGGCCGTGTTCTTGGGAGCGTGGGTAGGTGTGGAGGAAGGCCAGTGGTCGTCCCCATGGCACGTGTAACGGGCTTTCCTACTGCACATGTCCCTGACCTAGGCAGGCGCCAGCTGCGCGTAGGCCGGTGAGGGTGGCTGTGTGCAGCAGTCTGCTGTCCTGCAGGCTTGGGCGCTTCGTGGAATGTGTTACCTGAGGTCTGTGCAGCCAGGGGACAGTGCCCCGAATGCCTTCCTGAGGAGAAAGGCCGCAGTCACGCCTTCACTGCAGAGCCTAGGCTGTGCTGTGGGATTAGAATTTTCTCTGCCTCTTTCTTCCTGTTGAAAACCATGCACACCCCTTCATATGGATGTCAGGCTCCGCAGAGCCCCCTTCTGTCTGACGAGGACCTGGCTGCCTACTGGCTGTGCCTGGAAAGCGCGTCACCTGTTTGTCCCCACTATCCGTCTTCCCTAACCCTCCATCCTGTGTCCTGTGTCCCCACTGTCCTCCTCACTAACCCTCCATCCTGTGTCCTGTGTCTCCACTGTCTTCCTCACTAACCCTCCATCCTGTGTCCTGTCACCTGTGTCCCCACTGTCCTCCTCACTAACCCTCCATCCTGTGTCCCCACTGTCCTCCTCACTAACCCTCCATCCTGTGTCCTGTCACCTGTGTCCCCACTGTCCTCCTCACTAACCCTCCCATCCTGTGTCCTGTCACCTGTGTCCCCACTCTCCTCCTCACTAACCCTCCATCCTGTCGCCTGTGTCCCCACTCTCCTCCTCACTAACCCTCCATCCTTTGTCCTGTCACCTGTGTCCCCACTCTCCTCCTCACTAACCCTCCATCCTGTGTCCTGTGTCCTGTGTCCCCACTCTCCTCCTCACTAACCCTCTCCCATCCTGTGTCTAGGACTTGACTGCGTTGGCCAAAGAGCTCCGGGCGGTGGAGGACGTGCGGCCACCGCACAAAGTGACCGACTACTCGTCCTCCAGTGAGGAGTCTGGGACCACGGACGAGGAGGAGGAGGACGGGGAGCAGGAGGGCGCCGAGGACTCCACCTCAGGCCCGGAGGACACCCGAGCAGCGTCAGTGCCCGCTGTGCTAGCACACGCGCCCTCCCCCTGAGCCCACTGTCCGCTGCACAAGTCTCATGTAGCTTTCGTGGACTCGGTGGCACATAGCTTTCACACGCGCGCGCACACACACACACACACACACACACACACACACACACGTGTGCACACGTCACTGCCTCCCCACAAAACCTCCGAAGTTTTCTTTTATGGGAACAGTGAAGGGGAAGTTAGTTAGAAATAAGTGCCCGTTCTAACGTTCTGCCTGAACGTGAGCTTCGAGGAGCCCGGAGTGGGGAGAAAGCCAGGCTCCTGCTGCCCTGTGCCCGGTGCTTCTGCTCATCTGTCAGCCGAGAAGGTCACGTGGCTCGGCCCACAGCCTTGACTGGTGGGCGTTGTCTCTTCAGGTCGTCTCTGAATCTGAGCAACGGTGAAACAGAATCTGTGAAAACCATGATCGTTCATGATGACCTGGAGAGTGAGCCGGCCATGACCCCGTCCAAGGAGGGCACGCTGATCGTCCGCCAGGTACCCGTGTCTCTCCTTCCTTGTGTTAGGCTGAGCTTCTCCTGTGTCATTAACCCACTTGCTCATTCACTCACTCATGCTATCTCTACATCACCATCTGTGTTCACGTTAACACGGCTCTCAGGGTAGCGCGTCCTGGGCTAGGGAGGTCGTGTGTGCTGCATGCCTCCAAGGTGGCCGCTAGCCGGCACCCTACACTCCGCCCCTGCATGCCTGTGGCAGCCTTCATCCAAGCACCATGCTGAGTCTCCCGGTCTGTGTTGGAGTGCTAGAGAAGCCCCATGGTGTCCCTGAGTGAAGGCGACGCTCATGGGGTGCATCGAGAGGCTGAGCAGGCCTCCCGGGGGCCACAACGACCACCTCTGTCTGTGATGCAAGGTGGACTCTGTCTGCGTGACAGAATTGTCTGTTCACTCGTAGCTTAGGTTTCTCATTGAAGTCGCACAGGCCTTCTCAGGCTCTGGGGTTCCGCCCCCTGTGGCTTTCAGGCCACAGCAGTGTATTTGGATGGAAGCAGGGAGAGCGAGGGCCAGCCAGGCTGCAGAGCGAGCACAGGGCACTTGCTGGAAGTAGCTTAGACATACTCGCAGAGGAGGCAAGGGCAAGCTCTTCCCCAGATGGTCTGCTGCAAATGCTGCCTACCCTGGGTGGTCCCCAGTGAGCTGCTTTAGTTCAGTCGGCTCTTATTGGGCGTTTGGCAAGGGAGTTGGAGCAGTTCTGGCTAATTGCCTTGGATTTTCCTTGGTAACTTAACACAGGTTGAGAAGTCCCACCGCACCTTGACCAAAGCAGTTATCTCTAGGGCTGTCACAACGTCAGCAGCGCTTGAGCGAGACCAGTGTGCCTGTTTTTTCTACAGAGTACAGTTGATCAAAAGCGTGCCAGCCATCATGAGAGCAATGGCTTTGCGGGGCGCATTCACCTCTTGCCAGATCTCTTACAGCAAAGCCATTCCTCCTCCACCTCCTCCACCTCCTCCTCCCCATCCTCCAGCCAGCCGACACCCACCATGTCCCCACAGACACCCCAGGACAAGCTCACTGCTAATGAGGTATGTCGCACACCACAGCTGGCCGCTTTCCTGGGTTAGACCAGCACTGCCTAGGAGCTAGTTTGCGAAGACACCCTTCCCAGAAACCCTGTCCCCTTCCCTCCTCCCTGCTTCTCTGTCATCCGCCCTTCCAATCCCTAGTAACATGTTCAGCTCTGCATACAGATCCTAACCTTAGCTGGATTGAGCCCCCAAACTTGCCAGTTCACTGTTTACTTTTTCTAGATAAAGTAGAGTTGCATGGCTTGCTTTACTGTTTATTTTTTAAGTAAATAAAATGATTGCTGTGTTTTCAGATCCATTACATATTTGGCATGAACTCCTTGTAGTCATCTGTGGAATTTGCCTCTTTGTTCTTTTTTATCCAGTATATAAAACACAGGGGAATGTGGCTGCGTAGATTTGGCCTTACCCACACAAACTCCTTGTCTTGTGTGAGACTCTCCTACAGATAGGCATTGATTGATTTTGGTTACTGATTTTCATGTGTTTATTTTGGGGAGGGGCTGGTTGTTGGTTGGCAACTTTGGTTTTCACCGACCCTTTTATAGGGATCTTTTCTTGGCATGTACATGCACTCAGGGTTTAAGAGGTCAGGTGCTTCGGGGAAGGACCTAGGACAAGGATGCTTAGCAAGGACACGAGCCTCAGCTAGCTTTTAAAGTCTTGTGGAGGAAGTCCCGTGAGTTCGTGGCATGCGATGGTGCTCAGTCTGGGTGCCGGGTGGGTGAGTCTTCGTTCTTTGACTAGATCATGCCCAAGCGTGGTGACAGAGCCCACCGTGAACACCTGAATTATACAAGGTCCTTGATTTCGCAGGCGTGGGGCCTTAACAAGGCCGTTTGCGTGACAGTCGAGAACGGTCCAAGCAGACCTGTAGTTTCCTCCAGTCTGGTCAAGGTCACGCTTAACACTGCTGGACAGCAGCAGTGCTTCGGCTCCCTCGTTGGAAAATGCCAGCAGCGTTGTCCGGCCTCAGATCGGCCATCGTTTGGCCTGGCCACTAACCGATGGGCAGGGCAAGAAGCCCGAGATGGCAGATGTGTCAGAGGGGAAAGCTTAGGATGGCATGGGCAGTGGGGCACGGCGACTTTCAGGTACCCTCACCCCCAGAGGAAGTGATAGAGGAAAAGGCACTTGATCAGATGTGCTGTGTCCCGGAGGTCTGTGCTTGCACCTCTTGTTCAAATCTCACATGCGTTCCATCTTACCCTAACCTGTAACCTACTAAACTGGCAAGTTTTTCTGTTTGGTTTTAATCATCATTACATTTCCACTTAACAACTCGTTTCACTCCCTCTGTGAGCTTGTTTGTTGGTTTGTTTCAGTTTTTGGTTTTAAGTTACATTAGTCATACCAGTGCTCCGAAGCGCTCAGAGGTCATGCCTGCTGTTGTTTGTGTGTTTACTAATGCTCCCTGTTGTCTGGTGCGGACAGAAGGGTGATGCACCGTTCAGCAACCTTAGCCAAGCCTTCTGTAGCGTTCTGCAAGAGGCTCAGTGTCAAACACGTAGCAAAAAAAGCGTTTGCCCATAGTCTGTCACCGTAGACGCTGGGTCACACTGACCGTGTGTCCCAGTGGGTGGGAGGTCATAACGACGTTGTCCATCACAGTGGACAGTAGATCACACCAGTAGTCGCTCACGGTAGAGCACAGCACCTTTCCTGTGCACGGCAGACAGTGGCTCTCTCGCTAATTGCCATAGTAGACAGTAGGCTGCTCCTTCATTAGTTTTTAGTGTAAGAAATAAATTCATAAAGTAATGAATGGATACTAAGAATTTTTAAGTTTTAAAAACTTTAAATTTTTTAAGAACTCCGTTTGAGAGTTTCCACTTCCTGTAGAGTCTGGTCAGGGAGCGGGGCTCCTGTGAGGTTGCGGCATCCCTGCCCCAGGCGTGCGCCCCAGGAAGAGGGTCGACACTCGAGAGGTCTGCTGGGCCTTTGGGAGCAATGCAGAAGAGCGGGTTGGGGAATGGTGCTGTGTATAAGTGGATGGAAATAGTCTTTAATGTTCACCTTTTGAATGTCTCTCATATTAATGAAATTGAAATTTACATTTCAGACTCAGTCCGCTAGTAGCACACTCCAGAAACACAAATCTTCCTCCTCCTTTACACCTTTTATAGACCCCAGGTTACTACAGATTTCTCCATCTGGTGGGACGACAGTTACCTCCGTGGGTAAGTACTGCCGCAGCCAGGACAGCAGCAGCAGACAGGCCTGGTCCCTGGCGCAGCTCCCGAGGGCCAGGGCCGTAGGCAGGGTAGCTCCTGACGCAGACCTCGCTAGGAAGCCCATCCCACCCCCATTGCCCGCTCAGCAGCAAGCCTCATGCTCAGTGTCCTTTTCCATGTCATATCGCTCCGAGGCCTTCTCTTTGAGGAAGTATCAGTTGCAGCACGTGAATGTTTATCTGGGCACACTGGGGGGCGAGGCAGTGAGCAGTGTGAGCCGACGGTAACGCCCCAAACACTCTGTTTCAGTGGGCTTTTCCTGCGATGGAATGAGGCCAGAAGCCATAAGGCAAGACCCTACTCGGAAAGGCTCAGTGGTCAATGTGAACCCCACCAACACTAGGCCACAGAGTGATACCCCCGAGATCCGTAAATACAAGAAGAGGTTTAACTCGGAGATACTGTGTGCTGCCTTATGGGGTAGGTATCTCTGAAGACTGGTGTCGCCATTGGGAACATCCCTTCCTGTTTGATTCCTGCACCTGCAGCTCTGCTGACCCACGCTTGCTGCTGCGGTCATTTCAGCAGTAGGACGTTGGGAAGAATGGACCATCCCCGTTTCTCCACAGAGAGTTGAACAGTGAGAGGATGCGACATGAGAACGGTGTTTCAGTGTGTGCACCTTTTGCTGGGACGTGGCCAGTTTGCAGATGAGGTGCTCACGAGCAGCCACAGGGGGACTGGCAGCCTGCCTGCGCTTACATGTGTGTTTGCGGAGCCATAGCAGCGCTGCTGTGCGCTCACGTCGGCCTCCTCAAAGTCAGCTCTCTGCCAGCCCCACCCGCCCTTGCCTGGCATCTAGGCCCACAGTCTGTCCTGCTGTTAGCATGTCCTGCTTCTGCCCAGCACAGTCCCTTCCTTCCTTGACCCTGTGCATGCGGATGGTGACGTCTCGGGTTTCCCAGGTTTGCTTCTTGAGCAGCTGGGCCACTGCGTCACCTGCAGTAGGTAGTAATTTGCCCATCCTCCTTCCCACATCTCAGACTTCCGTGCTCCTTCTCTCCATTTCGGGAGAGACAACCCAGATTGACGCAGGGCTCGGCTTTCATCTTGAGACCTGTACAGTGCCCCAGCTCCTGTTCGTGCCCACTGGGCCCCCCCTTCCCTCTGCCAGGCTCCTGAGCTCCTGTCCAGCCCTCCACCGAGGTCTCTTGAAGAGCCGCCCACACTCACAGCAGTCCCACCTGCGTCCTTGGGGTCAGGATTCTTGCCTTTGACATGACTGCTCTAAAGCTCATGCAGTATGGACTTTGGTGTTAACTCTAAATCAGCAGTTTTCAACCTATAGATCATGGCCCCTTTGGGGGTTAGAGGACCCTTTAGCAGGGGTCTCGACCAAAGACCATCAGAAGACGGATATTTACATCACAATTCATAACAGTAGCAAAATAAAAAGTATGACGCAACAAAAAATTATTTTGTGGTTGGGGGTCACCAAAACTTGAGGAGCTGTATTAAAGCTGTATTACAGCATTAGGAAGGTTGAGACCCGCTGGTCTAGATAAAGCTAAAATGGAATGTTTCAGGGATTGTGGGCACCGTACCACAGGAGCCGGCACAGAGGTATGCCTGGCACACTGCTGTCGCTCAGCAGGGGCCGGCTGCTCAGAGAGTAGACTGTCGTTTGTTCGGATTGGGAGATTTTACGGTGGTTGTCTGTGTTATATTGTATCATTAGCTGTAGAGATTGTGGGAAATGTGTAGTTGTGCTCGAGTTGGTAATAAATGCCTGGCAAAGGGCATCATTTTATCCAGAAAAGTTACTCTTGCGCATAGTCTCAGGATCGTGCTGTTCCTCCAGTGTCCCAGCAGCCAGTGGGCCGTTTTCTGTGCCTTCCTCTGTGAGCACTGTTGCTGTGTTGCTTTCTCGCTGTGGTCAGATGCCGGCAAGCAGCGGCGTGGAGGACAGGTTGTGTGGCTCGTGGTGTGAGTTCTGTGCCGCTTGGTGAAGTGCTGCTCGTCTGCCCCAGCTGCGAGCCAGTGTGTGTGTGGCTGCCCCAGCTGCGAG